GAGGTTTGATCAGGTTTGGTGAGGATCAGTCTTGCCAGGACAGGTCTTGGGGAATTTCAGCTCTGGAAGCGCCTGGCAGGGACAGGAGGAGCAGATCCCAACCCAGCTCAGTGTTTGGTCCTCCCTGGAAGGGGAATTTTCCTGTGCCATGGACTCAGGAGCAGATTCCAACCTCAGTTTAATCCCTCTCCTCTGGATGGGGAATTTTCCTGTGCCAGGGATTCAGGAGGAGCAGATCCCAACCCAGCTCAGTTCCTGATCCTTGGATGGGGAATTTTCCTGTGCCAGAGACTCAGGAGCAGATCCCAATCCCAGCTCAGTTCCTGATCCTTGGATGGAGAATTTTCCTGTACCAGGGACAGGAGGAGCAAATCCCAACCCCAGCTCAGTTCCTGATCCTTGGATGGAGAATTTTCCTGTGCCAGGGACTCAGGATCAGATCCCAATCTCAGTTCAATCCCTCTCCTCTGGATGGGGAATTTTCCTGTGCAGGGACTCAGGAGCAGATCCCAACCCCAGCTCAGTTCCTGCTCCTTGGATGGAGAATTTTTCTGTCCTAGGGTTTGGAGGAGCAGATCCCAACCCCAGCTCAGTCCTTGCTCCCTGGATGGGGAATTTTCCTGTCCTAGGGTTTGGAGGAGCAGATCCCAGCCCCAGCTCAGTGTTTGGTCCTCCCTGGATGGGGAATTTTCCTGTGCAGGGAGAGGAGGAGCAGATCCCAACCTCAGTTCAATCCCTCTCCTCTGGATGGGGAATTTTCCTGTACCAGGGATTGGAGGAACAGATCCCAACACCCAGCTCAGTCCTTGCTCCCTGGATGGGGAATTTTCCTGTCCTAGGGATTGGAGGATCAGATCCCAACCCAGCTCAGTGTCTGCTCCTCCAGATGGGGAATTTTCCTGTGCAGGGAGAGGAGGAGCAGATCCCAACCCCAGCTCAGTGTTTGGTCCTCCCTGGATGGGGAATTTTCCTGTCCTAGGGTTTGGAGGAGCAGATCCCAACCCAGCTCAGCCCCTGATCCCTGGATGTGGAATTTTCCTGTGCAGGGAGAGGAGGAGCAGATCCCAACCTCAGTTCAATCCCTCTCCTCTGGATGGGGAATTTTCCTGTACCAGGGATTCAGGAGGAACAGATCCCAACACCCAGCTCAGCGTCTGCTCCTCTGGATGGGGAATTTTCCTGTGCAGGGACTCAGGATCAGATCCCAA